AGAATTTTTTAAAAGTAATTTTAATAATTTATCACTTGAGTTTCATTTTTAAAATTCATGAATCTTTATCACAAACATTTTTTATTGCAGTGAAGAATAACAACTAAAGTAAAATGATGAATCGTGAATTTGTGTTAAATACATGTAATTCTTTCAGCTATTTATTTATTCATGCAGAACATTTTGAACTCCAAGACAAAAAATTCATGGAAAAAAAATCTAAAATTATATCTTGATTGTAAAAAATAAAAAATAAAAACTAAAAATTATACTTTTTGAAAAATATTTTAAAGTTGAAATCAATCTCATAAAAGCTTTTGGTTAAAAATATATGAATATTGCTAAAAAATGTAATAAATCACCAAAATATATTTTATGTAATAGAAATTAATATTTTTAAAATAAAATATTTCAATTTAAATTACCTAAATAATTCTCTATCAAATTCAAAGTATTAAAATGAAAAAAAAACTTATTAAAGGTTTCATAAAGGAAAAATATAATAAGAATCTTCACAATGGGAGTCAAATTTTTATTTATATATAGAAATAAAATTTTCAAATTGAAAAAGTGTAAGAGCATGAGAATATTAATAAAAATTTACATTTATCATCAAATATGGATTGAAAGAATCATAAATGCTTAGACAAATTTCTAAACGTTGAATTTTTGTTTGAAAGCAATTTTCAGTGAGCAAGTTCAAGTTTATGAAGCTTTTTATGAATGAGAATTTTTGTAAAATAGATGGGTTTACAAATTGATCAGATTCATGATCAGAAAATCAAACCCAAAAATATATTTAATTGATATTAAAATTAATTATAATTTTCTATGCTTTAAAATAATTTTTATGTGTTATTTTAAATAAAAAATATCTTGTTTTGATTTTTCTTGATAATATTCATACAATGATTCTTATGAGCAAGTTATATATAATTATTTTTTTAAAGCAAGAATTAAATATTTTGCACATTGAATAAAATATTTAGTTCAAAAGTGTTTCTAAAAAAATTAAGGTAGTGGCTAGTTCTCCTTCACTTTGGCTAATTAGCACTCACCCTACTATACTCTTGTCTGTGATTGGTCGATGCAGATTATAGCTTTCATGGGATGGATCGTCGCTACTTCTAAAACAGTGTGTTCTTCGTGAGTTGGCGGCGTTTTTTTCTTTCCGCTCTGCGTCAAAGTCACCTCCGTGATAGACGCCACGTCAAAGCCTTTGTGGGAAGACATGGTATCATGAGGTTCTATGAAACCAAAGTGATTAGAAGCGGGGCAAGCTCCAAACAAGACACCAAACGGAAAGAATGGAATGCCTCTTCATTGGTAAGGAATTATTAATGCTCGGTGACTGTGACTATCATGCATGTCAAAGCACACTAATAATCTTCTCTTTGTGTACATGTTATCTCCGTTCAATCAAATTTATTTCAACAAAATATCTTTGATGGTTCCTCATTCGTCTCGCACTCGATCAAGATCCCTACATCTGTCCGATTATTTGTGAGTTCGGACTACGTCTTCCCAACCATTCAAAAGCACTTGCTGACCTTCAAAAGCTCGGTATATTCCATTTGAATATACGCTTGCTGCAGTTACGGGACATACATTCTGAACCTTTCCGAGAATTGAGCCAAGGAGGCAGGCTTTGACGTGGCAGGCGTGGTGTCTGCCACGAAGGTGGCTTTGACGTAGAGTAGAAAGAAAGAAACTCTGCCAACTCACGAATAACATCCTATTTTAAAAAGTAAGGGAACCCACCCCATGAAAGCTATAACCCTGCATCAACTAATCACGGTAGAAAGAATAGTAGGACATGAGCTAATTAGCCAAAAGTGAGATTGAATAGTAGCTTCCAAAATTAATTAAGCAATTTGATAATTTAATGATTTCACACAAATTCAAGTGAAGTGTATATGATACTTATGTATATATGAAAAAAAATGATTCATTTAATTTTTAACTTTTTTTTAAATTTTGATTGTTTAACATACATATCTTATAGATTAGTAATAAATTTTATGTTGAGAAGTTTAAAATTTTGAATATTAAATTAAATTAGTAAAAAAATTTGACAATAGAGTTTCAAAAGTTTTAAGTTATGAATATTATGACTATTCCAAATCAAATATTCAAGAAACATTTTTGAAAGCTTTTATATGAAAAGCTGCACATCCATCAATATTTTCAATATTGATGAAATTGCAACAATTCAACATCATGTATTAGTTTTCATGTGAGCTTTAATTGATAGAAGGATTGAAAAAATTAATACTGAATATTATTCAATTTTTTGATGATATTTTCAATTTGGTTACTGAAATTTTTTTGTTAGGACATCATGTCACATAGCAAGTGTTGCATGTGAATTTAAATAAAAGAACTGAGAAATTATGTTATTTCTAGATATGATTCGTCATGTTTTGAATATGGCTTTATTTTAGTTCAGATTAGTTTTTAGTGTTAACTTTGTTTGATTTGTTTCAAGATTTTTGTAGTATCTTCATGAAGTAAATAAAAGTTACAGACCTCAAGACATAAGTCAAAACAGACATGGTTTGAAAGTAACTCAGATTTTGATAAACTATAAATTATTTGACTAAGATAGATAATATTAGATTTTCTATTATTATATATGAGTTGGAAGAATATCTATGTAACACAAATTAGTATAATCAATAAATGAATTTATGTGTTTCATAAACATAATTTTGCTGAGATGAACCACATAATTTTGTTCTGTAACAGATGAAAATGCTTGTCATCATGTATTAATACAATAAATATTGACTTCTCAACTACGTTTATAAAAGTTGTTGATATTTCATGTTATTTACATATTTCATAACAGACATCCATAAATATAAAATAATGGAAATTACTGTTTTATTTTTTCTCAACATTGTTTTCTAAAAATCTAAATAAATCAGGCTTTAAATGCTTGCCAAGACATAATCATATTATGTGTGAATGTATGTACTTGATTAATTTTAGATGATTAAGTTGAACTAGCAACATCATGAATCATGTAAAAAATTAAGATCTGAATATTAATAACTAATAAGAAGAAATTACTTCGAAAGAATAATATCATAGCATTTAATATATCCGATTTTCTATATTATTATTTCAAAGAATATTTTCATTTACATTTCTGCAGGTACATTTTGCTTCATTGAGATAATATAATTAGTTTCTTTAAGTTTTGAAGAAAAGATTGTAATACTGTACATGTTTCTCATAGGAATACAGTACCCTGTGTACCTAACCCTTTTGAAGATGACTGATCCTGGTTTCATCATTGTACACTAAACTCGATGGGTCTTCCTTCCCTTTTTTTCTAATATCTTTCTCATCCTATTTTGGTTCATTTGGAAGCAAGTTCATGAATGTAGATCAGCACGCACAAGAGGCAATTCTCAAGTTTTCTATCTATCGTCTTCTAGAGACCCAAGGACTACGTGAAAGAATATAACCAGGAAAGGGCTACTTGGGCTCGTCAGAGTCTAAAACGTCAGTGAGTTATTTCAACAACTGTGAATGGCACTAGTGGACAGTGAGGTAGTAGTGAGTTTAGAAAAGCTGAGTTATACCCGAAGCAGGTGCAGCGGGACGTTGCGGCGAAAGTGCACTACCTGTGACGGTAGAAAGCTGCTGCATGCAGCAAAACTCTCGCGTCTCACTCCACTTCCCTTAACTCTCTCTTCCTCCCACAAACAACCGCACGTACTCGATATAAAGATCGATTGCAATATGCCGATGTGGAGAACATGAGAGCGCTTAGTCCTCTCCTCTTTAGATTGCGATCTGATCTGACGAGTACTTTCCAATTGGAAAAAACAGGGCCAAGATTAGACATTCATTGAGATTTTCATTTTTGAAGAACACGAGACACTCAATTTTATATCTTTTCATTTCCATAAACCCATATCATATTATGCAAAGTTGAAACCAGACCCATGACACAGAACTAATCTTAATCTTACCCCGTTGAGAATTATATTGATCTTGACAAATAATTCATATTTGAGAGAATTCATACATCTGATCTGAAATTTTGACATTAATTTAGCCAAGAAAATGGTTTATTTGTATAAGACTGTTTGTTTATGTATAATATACAACTTTGTATCTAATAATATTTCACTTTAGATCACTCTCGCTTTTCTGTTCTCATGACCGGATTTTTAGTACTGCCTACATCTGAACACTAGAACTATTGAACAGAAGGTTCACTTCGATGGTTCCTTCTGTAAAACTTTAAAAAGATGCAATCGGGAATCTGAACTAGATGAGAGTGCATGTTCCGAATACTGTCATCTCCCTCGTAGTCAATGTACGGTAGCCTTGTGAAGGGGAGAGTCTTCCAGTTTGTGCACCAGGTCACGAAGAAAAATATCCGATCATTGGGATGGTTGGGAAATTACAGGTTAGGAACCATTATGAATGAGGAGACCAATATGAGAACAACTTATTTCACTATACATAAAATCAGTGAAGCTCTTGAATCTATAGAATATTCACATCCCACTCTATGTAATCAAACCAAGAATTTATTAACTACATTTCATTGGTGTTCTAATAATACTCTAATCTTTGTGCAAGCTAATCCAGGAATAAAGTGAATCAAAATTAGTATGTTTTAATGTTACACAATAATAAGCCATCAATTCAATGCAATTATTTTGAATGTGGGTATGAAAACAATATCCGGTGTGAACAATTTGAAAATGATAATTACTATATTTTCAACGTGATCCAAGTATGACTCTAAAAACCATTAGTATGATTCGGTTTTTTCCTAGTTGACTACAAAATGAACATGGTGGTTACTCTCGTAGTCTCAACTTTAGTTCGATGGTGAAGTTCAAACTGATGTATCTTTGTCAATCAACGATAAGTAGTGGCCCTCAATTTCATATTGGATTCTACCTATTATAACATCCTCGAGAGCTATACTCACTAGGATCATAAGAATTGGAATTACTAAGCACCTCTTCCGAAGTTCTCGTACTCTTAATAAAAGCTACTCTATCTTGCTCGATTGCAGGCAACATAATTGATCAATTGACGTCAATAGAAAGACATTAAGCCGACATGTTGTTGCGTGCCAGAAATACACGCAGCGAACGAACGAGGACTGTGTGAAATAAATTCGAGTGAAGTCTGCCCAACGGAGAAACGCAGAAGGATAAAGTTCTCAGAATACGATGTATCATACAGCCACAACTTGCACTCGATCAAGAGACAGAAGCCCAAATAATTGCCAGATCACTATAGAAAACTTTGGATCAAAGTTTATTAGTGTGTGCTAGAAAGCCGTGGTGGTGCCTTGCAAGCAGCTAGCATATCTGATATCACTGCCTGTTTCCTACACACTTGATACGCTCTCTCCCTCCCACAAGGAGTAACAAGGATGCCAGGTGAGCTAGCTACTTGCAAGGCACACATCAGCCTTCTAGCATGACAGTGAATCCAGGCTTGTCAACCGCTGAATCATTAAGACTTTATCACACACCCGGTCGACGAAAAAAACAACGAATTACGAACTTCTGCCGAAAGGTACCAATCGCAGGTCCATTGCATGCTTTGGAAACAGGAAGAAGCACTTGGGCCAGTTAATTCGATTGTGCCACCTTTGGCAGTCAACGGTAGCAGCTGTAGGTGCTGCAGTGGTACTTGCCCGAAAGCCCACCATTTCAGATCCAAGGTGAATTTAAAGCACACAGTAGTCGAATCACGAACTGTTGTAACAAGACTGGAAGGGACATTGCAATGTCAGCAGACTTACTTATCGCTTAATGGGTGAGAGAGTAGGCGAGAAGTTAAAGGAAAAGAAGTCTGGAAGGACAGCAGAGTCCAATCATCATGAACATTGGCAAACCTTTGTCAATTTTCAGAGACTTAACAACTTACGTACACGCTATCAATATGAATCTTATTACATTGAGCAACCAATTATGACTCAGATAAGAAGCGAGAAGGACAGCATGGAGAACTCGGATAGAAAGGAAAAATCTAAAGAAAAGTTCGGTTAGCAATTAGCTACTAATCCAAGGAAATGAACCGAACTGGAAAGAAAGTCATCTACTGCAGTCTGTCTGCATGTGTTGACATCGACTATCTCCGTGGCATCATGGGTATCAATGACTGCAACAACTCAAACACTTCTACCATATCAGGAGAGCTTGATATCCCCATGAAAGTTGTGGGTTATTTTTTGGCCAATCTGCGCAAATTATGATCTTTGCCATAATAAAGGGCAGCTATTTCCACGTTGCGATTAAAGCAAGCGATGCGTTTCGGAACTTGTCGTCCATCGTAGTTGAGCTGGTTTATGGCTCAGATCAACAAGAATGTTTCCTGACCATATAGAGTACCATACCTGATACAGATACCATTGCCCTACTTCCAGCACAAGCATCAGGGCATTGTGCTTCCAAATGATCCTATCTTGCTACACCAGGTGTCGTAAAACACGAGCACAAGTTGTAGAATGGAAGGAATCTGCATGTGAGTATCCGCACTGCAAATATGAATATATGCTTTGGGTAATCTGCAGACCGAAAGTGGAGGTGTTGATGACTTCCAAGTTTGCTAAGACGTAGGTCAATCAAGTCAATCTATTTCAATTTCTACTAAGCATCTTCCGTCCCTCCGCCAGGTCCTACCTGCAGCTGCAGTGATCTGATCACGATGCTGGGAAGTTAGTAAACTAGTGATATAGTGGACTCATAGACAGACCTGCACCAAATGGTCAGAAATCAATCACAGACAGGATTTCAGCACTTTCTGAAAAGTACAAAAGCATCGACAAAGAAGAAGGACACTTCAGGATCGAAGTTGTTGACCTGGTTAGCGTGATATATACTAGACTCGAATGTTTAACATTTTCTTCATAGCGTATCTCGCAGTCAGTCGACGTCAGGTCACTCAGCATCTCTCCCACATGCTGGGAAAGGCATCCGAAGCAAAGCAAGGTTCGTGGTGCTGGCTGCTCGGTGCTTGAGTCAGGTCAAAAAGTGAAACGTAGTTGGTTTTGACATCAGCATTCTTTCAGAGGAGAATCTGAGCACGACATGTTAAACCACTCGGAAGATTCAAGAGAAGTAGAACCCCGAATAAGAGCGAGCGAGCGAGCTACCGTAGGCTGGGGTGTGATGAGGTTATCACGGAACAAGAGAGCTGACATGGACCGTCATATCTTTGAGCCTTCTCCTCCTCGCTTGCGACTAAGTGACACCAGACAGTATAATCAGCAGACGGAACGAGCTCTAATGAAAATCTCGAGCTAATCCCCCGCCAAACGAGAACACAGAAGCTGCACCGTCAGTAGCTCGACAACTGTCCTACCACTACTGATTCCATCAACCTCTGCAGTCGGTACGAGAGTCGAGCGAGTGGCCATCATAACTCACGACGGACATGAGCGAGACCTGTGTGAAGACAGAGATAATTTCAGCTAAATTCGCTCACTCCCTCTGAGCGTCCGTTGACCAGCAATCCGGCGTGGGCCTACGCGAGGCCCCTCGGCCTGTCTGTCCGTCCTGTTCTGTTCTGTTCACGGAAACTCGGCCTCCGAGTCTTTGACCTCGTCTCTGATGATGCCCAAGCGCGACGAGGAGCCCCCAAGTCGCAGCGCCGGAGTCGCGAGTCGCGAGTCGCAGGCGTCCGTCAGAGTGTCGAATGTCGAGCTGAGGAGAGGTTGAGGAGAAGGAGGGAAGGAGGGGTAGATGCAGTGTACGAATGTCAAAGGAGGGAGAGGCTGGCTTTGTAGGCGAGAGGGAGGACCTCGAGGGGGGCAGGGGCCGCAGTCTTTGGCACAGTCTGAGGCCCGAGCCGCGTGTTCCCGTCCCGCCCCGTCCCCGCCCATGCCATCGCATGCCATACAAGCGGTAGTAGCCTGCAGGGCGCAGCGCATCGCACGGTGCGCGTGTTCCCTATCCGGAAGGATTTTCTTTTTCCCCACATGCGCAGGCGCCCGCCCACCAGAAGCAGAGATTCAGATCAAGGCCGGGCGTATATTTGGCCCTTGACAGCTCTCACGACATCATCCCACGACAAGGCCGGTCGCTACACGAGACGCATTCGCTGCATGAAAACTTTACGTCGGACGTGAACGAAATCATGCCCGAGAGCTGATTGCCATTCATCTCTCGAGCTCGTGCATGCGCAGCGGCACAAGTCAGGACCACACTCGCTTCCTCCACTGCACAAGAATGTGCCCGTAGATCATGAACCGTAGTGCATTCCTGTACGATCGCCGTCTCGGCCCCAGCTGCTGTTCTGGACTGTCTCTGATCCGGTGGGCATTGCACACGCTCGGCTAGCCATCGCATCGGGTCGGTCGTATCTGATAAAACGACCCCCACTGATCGCGAGGGCTGGCCCCGAGTCGGTGCATAGTTCGCAACTCTTCCAGACCAAGAGGCAAAACTTGCTCGTTAATTCCAGTCGACTGTTGTACATGACTCGCAGCACTCTCCTGGTCCAGGCCCTACGGGCTCCGGCGCTGCAGTGCTACGGAACCGGTCAAATCCATTCCACTCGTGTCCACTCCCGTCGCTCGCTCGCTCGCTCGATCCTCTCGTCCATGGCGAGACGGTCCAAAATTCGATCATTTTTATACAGGTCCGTGATTTTGTATACGGGTACATACGAAGACAAACGCCTGTGTTACAATCTCTGCGGCATCGCTGGGAATTTGATGTTCTAGGCCAGGATTCGAGGAAGCGTGCGACAGAAGCTACGGGAGAAGACAAGAGCAGGGGGTGCGGGATGGGGGCGCAAGAGAAGGGGGGTAACTAACTCATGGGACGGATGTCGACTGTGCGGGCATTCTTAGCTTCTTCAGATGCGGCGATGATATGTTCGGGGTCACTGTTAGTTGCCCACTGTTGAGCTGGTTGTCGTTGTCGAACATCGATCGCCCTTTTTCCTTTTAGCAGGCAAGGCCCCGTGTTCTCGGCCCGCTCCTAGCGCTCCCGTGCGCCATGTCTGGATGCTGATGAGCCTTGTGCGAGAAGATAAACAAGGCCTCGTCGGCTTGCGCGCTTCGGCCAGTCCGCACATCCCTCTCGCGCTCTCTGCAAGTTGAATGACACCGACTTTCTACAGAATGGGGGGCGCGAGCCTTCATAATGTGCTCTCACTGTATCCACAGCACTTGCTTGAATATTCAGCGCCCTCATTTCAGCTGCAGCTGCAGCTGCTGCCCTCCAGCATGCATGCAACTTGGAAGGAAGCAAGCAAGGAACGATGGAAGCAAGGGAGGAATTCCGTGCGATGTAAGCACCCGTTTTATCCATCATCCATCCGGCCATCGAGCTCCCCGACGATCCTACCGACTGCTGACTGACTCGGGCGATCCTGATCGCAGCGGCTCCGAGACAGATCCCGATCCCGATGATGCAAATCATCGTGCCGTGCAGATGCACGGGATGAATCGAGGAATGGAGTGGTGGCGATGGATTCCTCTCGCGCGGACTTCCAAACTGAACCGTTACTTAAGATTTGGAGATAGCATGTGGGGGGCGATGGCTCGCCGTTGTCTGCTGGGCGTGTTGGCGAGGAATTTGGAAGGCCCTTCTTGCTCTGTATGCGAATACTGTATGCGGATATCCTTATTATATTGATACCAGGATATACAGACTCACACGGCCCCTAACGCGATTCCCGACGAGGATCTTAATTGGTTTGTCCTCCGTTCGTTTGGACTGACAGTCCTGGACCCTTGTGCTCTCAATCAAAACTCGACACTTCGCTGCTGCTGCTGCTGCTGCAATGTCCCCGTCCGGCCACTCTCTTCCGTATCGTACAAACGCTGAGATCCACTGACAAAACGAGGTTCCGGTTCCAGACCATGATATTCCTGCCAGGATGTACCTCGCAGTGACGCAGTGCGTAGCATCAGTAGCATGGGGTCGCTGAATCACAACGACGCACACATTGTCGAGCTCGTTCCAATGATTCGGCAGATCCGCTGATCGACCTCCAGGGCATTGTTATAGATAGCGTAGGTACGGACGGCCGAGCCAGAATTATGAGGCGGTTGTTATAACATATTCCTCACGTACTGGGCTTGCCACCGCAGAGGACCATCGGCCAGTTCGTTAGCGGCTCCGATGTCCTATTTCGCTCGAGCACAATTCACCGAAAGCTTTGAACACGTGCACCGAAGGTATTGATTTCCTGAACGCACCGCAGTGTGTATACAGAAATAGAAGCGGCCACCGATTTTGTGCCCGCTTTGGCAAAAAAGTAGCTGACAGTTGCAAGAGAGTGCGTACGAGCCACTTTTTTTCTGGATTGTCACCGATATCTGAACGCATGAGTCATCTGATTGCGGTCGGCGGGGACGGCGGGCGGGAAGGACGTCAACAGAGTCGCGTTTTCGTTCGAGAGAAATCCCATGAAACTTTCCCCATCAGTCAAAGTTGGAGATATCACGACAGACTCGGAAGACCGCTCATCTTTGCACCTGTAAGACCTGGCCTGTCTTTGCTGCGCATTGGCATAGCTGATCCTCGGATTCAGAGTTTTTGGAATAGCGACAAGGTAGTGATGGATTTCTTTGCTCTAATATTAGTCAATCTAAATGCAGCTGGTGCTCATCATGCTCATGGTCAAGACAGTTCGTCACAAATTCACAAATCGATAGGTTCGCAACGAAATTGCTTCTGCAGCAGCTGGCTCGATTGAAAGTACGTGATAGATTGATCACTCAGTAGCCGGCTAATATTCTTCTCGTCGTTCCTCGAAATCCAAATTCAGATTCCGATAAACGAAAGACGAGATCGTGGTATATAATTGGATCAACGGTTTTTTTCTTGTTGTTTGTGTTGTTGTTGTTGGTCCTAGTCCTGGTCAAAACTCGAAGCATCATCTTCAACGGCCGAGGCGAAAATTCGGTGCCTGCGAATATTGCTGAACCGAGCTTTCCCGCGAGTCTGATAGGAATGTGATTTCCACCTGCGGTTTGGTTCCTTCCAGATTCTCATGTTAACGCTTGGTGAAATGAAAGCTCATCGTACAGAAGAAGCGGGAAGTACGTAACTGGGTAAAGAATCAACCTACACAGTTTTAAAGGGATTTAAATTGCTCGCCTTTGGAGCCAAAGGGAAAACTAAGTAGGTCCAAGCTGAGCTTATAGCCTAGCCCCTGGCTACTAATCATTGGCTGGATGGTTCATGAACATAGACAAGTGTAGTATAAATTAATCACTAGTCGAGGTTAAATTACGATTTTGCACCAGTTTTAAGTAATCCTTTGAGATGGACCCTCCATTAATTTCTTTGCAATATGTTGGAGAATGAGTGATACTCAGGAGGATAAAAACTTTATTCTAAAAGGTTGAGTAACGACCAGTACCATTACAAAGCATTATGTTCTTATACATGACGAACAACCAATTTCATAGTAACAATAAACATTCTGGGTTAAAGTTGTATCTCCTGAAGTTTAGAAAAAATCTATGTGCCAAGGATATATTACCTTACGTGATTAGAGGAATGTTCACGGGTGGGATTTCCGTCCCACCCGTCATTGAAAGGAGGCGAAAGCTTTATCCGAAAAAACGAAAGGCAGTAGAGACACATGTAGTAGCTGTAGCGAATCAGGCAACAGCGATAATTGTGGTGTTAACATTAGCAAAAGTGGACAAGTCAAGTAAAGCAAAAGGGAGGGCATACACAAACAGTTGTCCCACGGTGGTTTAGCAAACACCCTTTGCTAAATTTTTTTTTATGAGATTTTTATTATAATAGTATTTGTCGAACTGGGAGTTTAATTTTATATATATTTATATATATATATATATCAATCATACCTCACATATAAATACATGTCTGTTATTCTCTTAGAATAGAATTAATACTTATTACTGTCCTTTAGACTGAATCCAACCAAAAAATAAACCATGTATCTCACGATCAATTATTAACATATTAAAAATATTATACCAAAATGTAAATCCAATACTAAATCTTTAAAGGAAATTTCCAAGCATATGGTTTACAAAATTTTTGGATATCAATTGATCCAACTGTTGTAATTCTGGCGATTTACTTGGCATATCATACTTCTCAAATATTTTCTGCTCAAAGGACAATCTACGGAAACTCCTAAGAAACCACAGTATTAATTGATTAATACAAGGTTTCTGTTTTACAATGGTTAAGGTTTCCATTTTTTCCAGAATTTACAAAATGTTCAAATCTTTACATAGAATATTTTTTTCTGACTAGTATATTTTAGTGTGTACAAGATTATATGATAATCGTTCCAGATCTTCAGTGTGTTCTAGCACCAGAAAATGCTTCTATTTGCATTACTGATTTTACACCGGCAAATGTGAAAACTATGCTGTGTGTTTCAATAGTTGAGTATGCATATGAGGCAATATTACTGGTGATGTGATGATCGACACATTGCTGCACGGGCAGAAGCCAGCACCGCCCTAGCCGTATGTTCTAACGCATTGGAAAATAGCTGCACAGTAAAATATTGCCACCACGCTGGAAACATGCATCAGAACTTGCCACTGCATCGTAGTAGCGTACTCGGAAAGTAGAACAGCCGACCAGTGCAAGTTGAGCCTGCGTACTAGCACACTCTTACTGCGTGGGACCATCATCGACATGGCGTCATACTACAGTTGCTGAACTTAGATGGAAGCTGCCTAAATCTTCGTGTTGTTATTTCTTCTAAATCGTATTTGAAAACTTCGCTTGTTCTGATTGTTGTAGTTGCAAATTGTGATTAGCTTATGTATATGAAATCTGTATCTGGCTGGTAAATATATTAAGCGCATTGCTACTGTTGTTATGGTCACACTAGATGTGTAATATGAATGCTGTCTTCTCCATGGGACCATACATTTCAGCGTCCAGGTTTAGTGCACAGCTACAGCCTCCGTAAATTTTGACATGTTAATTAGGATGGATTGTGGCAACATTTATGAAATTGAAACTTTTGCTGAAACTGTTGCTGAGATTGATGGATCCACACAGGATCCAACAATCTCAGCAATATGATGTAGTTATTGCTTAGTCTTACACAACAAGGTCTGCTCTCTGTCGTCCTTTCAATGCACCAAACGCCGTCTTTTACCATCCTGATCGAGGAACTGATGCAATTTCAAAGTTTTTGCCAATTTAGTAGCTGCCCTTGGCCGCCCCATGAGTGTAGTGACAAATGGGATAAGCTGCATCATCTATTGCCTTGTAATGACAATATACAGCATATGCTATCATCCTTCCCTTTATGGAATACTTGAGTACCTTTGTTTATCCCCGTCGATGAAAACCAGTACCCAAGAGATTTTTGAGTTGAAAATACCCTGAATGCCTTGAATGTGGACATGCTTCGATTCGGGAATTAAATTGGTGTAAAAGAAGGGCGCAAAATAATATATACTAATAATATGTGCACTATGACAATGAAGTTCATGCTTCATGTCATGTTTAAGGCGAAACTCTGTTTGGGGATCTTGCTTAGCTCCTTGTTTGCACACAAGCCACGACTTATCGCACACCCCCACTAAAGAAATTCATCACGAGATTAACACAAGCTGCTGTAAACACCTGTACTGATCACCAGGCATGCATGTTGGGATAAAACTTTTTGACGAGAAATTATGAGTGGTTATGGTTACGAGTGATTCATATTAAAAAGGCTAAAACAAATGTATATGTTGGTGCAAAGGTGCACTAAGTTAAGCACCCGAAGAGAAATCTATTCGGCAAGCGGATGACCAAAAAACTAACAGCTTGCCATGAATAATAATCTTTGAGAGGCCAGTATGCAAAACCGACCAAATGACTGGAACAAATTAAATTGCTGTCATCGCATCTATTATGTCGGTACTGCGATGGACGTTCCACTGGAAGGTTACTATACTGGATTACTACTGAGCTGCAAGGCTATCTCACCTCTTTGGTAAAATACCCTTGCATGGTTTGGTAAACAAAAGGTCCGAGGGAGAATTCAAGAATTTTCGATTATGTAAGACCAGTTTATAAAATATAGGCTAAAACTCCAAGAGTTCATTTTTGATATTGGTATCGCTTCTGAAATAGTCATATTCTATAGCATTCCGTGGAAGAAATAACAATTCGTTTTCACAATATTTTCTTGAAGCATAACATTATTCCGTCCTCAGAAAGGAGAGGAACTGGTTGCAGTCTTTACAGCTGGCTTTTCAAAGGAATCCCCAAACCCGTTGACTCCAAATTACCCATCATACAATAGTGATCCTAGCGTCAAGGCTTCCATCATCAGGTCTGGGTCCACGATATATGACGGTTCAATGTAGTTCAGGCTCGGCAAGCTTGCAAAGTCAAGCTTGGGGCTATGGGGCTTATACTTGATGCAATTCCTAAACACATCCTACAGCTTCTGTTGTAGCTTCTAGAAAAATTACGTCATGATCAACAGCACTAGATTCGCTCCAAGACCCCCTCCCAAATTCACAACCATAAGATCATGTTATCGCCACATCCATCGAAGAACAAGCGAATGTTCTATTAACTTCGTTGATCACCAACATGCATTCGTCTCCCCCTTTCTACTCAAAATGCAATGTATTGTAGATGATGCTGTGAATTTGAGACCCTGAGTAGCCGCCATTTACAATAATCGTGGGTATTATTTTTAGATGGGCCATGGGAATAAAAGAAATGTGAAGTTTATAACAGAACTCAAGAGAAAACCAAGAGCTTAATTCAAACTTATGTGAGGAGATAAAATCATATTTATTAATAAAATTTAAATTAAATACTTAATAAATATTATAAAACATCCTTTAAATAAGTTATATCCCATTTTTCTTCAATTCATTACATTTCTTTGACATCCAATCCCGGAGAAAAATGTAAGTATAATATTAGATATTCGGTCGGTTAACGGACTGTCGACGGTGACAGCTGTTGCGTACGGTCCTTCACATAATAAGACACAACATTCTTGGGCTAGCCCAAGAATTTGGGATGGTTCCTAATATTTGGTAAAGATCCCCTGGAGATACGAAGGGAGAATCTGTCCCAGAATTCGAATGTTATAAATTGTCACTGTTTGTCAAAATATTGGCACATGTTGGGAGAGGTTCTCACTTGAAAGTGAAAGCACGTCGACTTCCATGGATGGATCGACAACAGAGTTTCAATCTGTTTGATCGATCTAGTTACTTCCGTAGTCCGCATTTTCTTCTTGTAACATAGTCCCATATTCCGTAAAGGTTCATCTTGTTCACTGAGCTCTGTTCCTTCCATATCATGAGTTGACCTCGTACTTGTCCACTAGAAAGCGCGAGGGGCAGTAGTGACCGAAATGTGTTTCACTATGAAGTGACGAGGGTTTAATGAAATCGAGGAAATTTCTCCAAAAGTCAAATGAAACTTGGGAAATTTCTCAACGTATATCATGTTTTCCGCACACCCGATTGTAAGGTATGCACGAAATGCAGGAAGTCGAAACCACTCCTCATGACTTTGCACTCTGTGGAAAGAGAAAGAGATCTGACCAGATTTCCCCAGAATTAGAGCACAGCGCGAGAAAAACAATCAACAATTGGTAATGATTCGAGCCATTGAACCGGATGCGTTACGACCAGATTTCGCAAGAAACAAAAAGAGGTCGAAGAATTTCTGGTAGCTCGGAAAGTAAGACCACCATGAAATTGGATGGATGTCTTCCGCAGATACGACAGCGTGCCGTAAAATGCCCGCCGGCGGATTGTAAGGAGAAAGCGGTGGGACCCAATTTCAGAACAGACAACATAAAGTAAGTGTGAAGTACTTTGGACCATCAAATTGGAAGATCACCGCACATACGACCGCCTGCATGATGTCAATTGACCTTATGACGGTGTGAGATCCTTCCTGTATAGAAGGAGGAGCTCGCAGGCAGACTCACCCGTGCGCAGTGGGCCTTCGAATCATGAGCCTGATGTCACGATTTGTTTGGCTCGGTTGGCGGGTGTGCGGACAGAAGCACCCACCGGAATCTGCTTCGGTAGTCCATCCCAGTCTCAGCTCAGTCCGGGAGCGGAAGAACGGGGTCGGTCTGGCAGCGAGGCATCGAGCACGGGCCCTGGGGTCGGTCGATTCGATTCAAACTTTGGTTGTGCTGGGGGACGGGTCCCCGTCGTGTTGTCCAGCATGCGACTATGCTCGTTCCGTCGAGGAAGCGATGCAAACGCAACAGCGACGCAGATATAGAGCGAGCGTTAGCCTTCGTTAACTCGCCTCGAGGTTGGCGTGCTCGAAATCGACCACAAATTCATTCGCACCGCCGTGTCCGCTGAGAAGCTCGAGGGCTCGTGTACATACAGCATACAGTACGTACGTTCAACGCTGTACATTACTCACAGTAGAACTCACAACTAGTTCGCTTTTTCGTCTGTTGATGATGATCCTCATCCCCTGTCCGTCGTCACAGTGACCGAGTTGCACTGAAGTTATTAAAACAAGGGAAGAAATAAATGATTGATTGTTAATTGATGCGGTAGGATGCTGTGGAATGAGCGAATTCTCTGTCTCTTATTTTTCGCCTCTGCCTCTCTCTGACTCCTCTGTCTCTGACTTTTTAGTGAGACTGGCAACAAGTATTCTCATGGACTCACCAACATTCAGAAATGAATAATTATTTTTCTTAGGTAGCGATTGAAGGCTTGAATTATCTCTCTTCACTCTCCATCCCCCACCCTCTGACTTGCAGTAACACTAGGCTGTTGCTTTCGTGATCATCACCCACCTTGCTCTCTTCAAATCCCAATTTACGATTTCAATACAGCAATGAAAGATCGAAGTGACAGAAATTCATGAGCTAGCGGTCAAATCAGAGCCGCCTGTCTGTGCCTTTGAAATCCGATTCCCCGATGATGCAAACTGGCAAACTTTCCAGCGAGCGAACAGATTGGAAGTGTTTGAATCTGATCTGCTAGCTTCTCTTAGCTTCCCCTTACCTTGTCGCAACCTGACTAGTGCAACCTTAGTGTTATCCGCACTTTAGTGCAACCTTAATTGCTTCAATTATTTTCCTAACGACAACTTCCAGCTTTCACACAATTATCTCTCTCTTTCACACAAACACATATTTGCCTCCGGCTCTCTTAGACACGTAGCATAAATTGAGTGTCAGACTCTGATGGGTTGACTGACTTCGATGGTGTCGTCGTCGTTCTGCCCGAGCATTATACCATGCCGCAGCTCAGTGAAACAATGGACTCTTGCGGGTGAGTGCCTGTGGCATTCGGCGTGGTGTCTCACATGGATTCAAATCCCGCGTGTCTTGGACTCCTTGGAAAGCCGAAGCCGCCAGCGGTCGGTACCCGGGGCCCGACAGTTTCGGCTCCCAAGCTCCATTTCTGCTTCTTGGACGAAATTTCATGCAGCAATTAGTGCTCGTTGCACGAAGTTGCATTTTCTCGTGAGAGATTGCGGTACATGCGGGCGGTTGATGGGGATTGCATGCAAGCATGAATGATAGAATGAAAATCCGGAAGGCTCAGGGGTGAGGATGATGATGTGAGGATCAAACATATACTCGGTTGTATATTCAGGCGATCGAATTGAAGATTGTTTATCCCCCATCTTACTAATTATCTGGTTATTTCGCTCTCTGACATGGGCACGACGCATGATTCCCCAACAACGTGACGTCGACGAAGCGCATCATCGTCGCCAGAAGCTACTACTGATGATGCGCTTCGTTTAGGCAATCTAGGAAGTAGCCACGTAATGATGTGTAGAGTACTGATGAATGTCTGCCTGTCCGAAGATGTTTCCATTGACATTGAAGAGGTGGCTTGGTTTTCTGGTTTGTTCAGACATCGGTCAGTTGCTCCGAGTAGGAGGACATCACAATGTATCTGGTCCAGGACAAGGGAGGTGCCATAGCGTTAATGCTGGCGGCTCTTGTTTTTCTCGGAACATGGCCTGCGATTATGAACTTTCTGGAGCAGCGAGGCCGTAAGTTGCAGCACACGTACCTCGACTACTCGATCACCAACTTACTCGTGGCGATTGTTTTCGCACTTACGTTTGGCCAGTTTGGGCATAGCGACGATGGACAGCCCAACTTTCTCACTCAGCTAGGGCAGGTGCGGATGTACTCCTCCTCTATTGGTCTTCGATTCTCTTCTGTTCATAGTACGCACTATAGTAGACGTATATCTCCATTAACCAGTGCTGTCTGTCTGTCAGTGGGTCAGCTACTTTAGTTGGTCTCGTAACCGCTGTCTGGCTCTGTTCTGTGTCATTTCATTGCATGTTAATCGTGGATTTCCTCCATCATTATTTAGAGCCTAGCCATTATATTTCTTGTCATGCGACTTTAGCCGTATAGCCGACGATTTGGAGGCACCAACCCACGATCTAGTGAACAGAGAGTTCAACTTACTGTACTTCAGAGGATGAGGCAATTTCTAGCTTCGAGAAGCCTACGTCTGCGAAATCTACATTTCGCTAAGACAAGGTCATGACGTGATTTGGGTCTGCCTTGCGACATTCCTTCTACTGCTTCTTACTTAGTTTCTGAAGTACCCTCGTCTGAAAGATGAGATTAGAGCGCTCTGCTTCAATATCCGGCTTCGACGTCTGCTTGCCACCGGATGAGAATTGAAATCGTCATGTGCTCAGTGCTGATGAAACTCGCTTCAATCTGTGTGATGCCCACTTGCTGGATGATGATATTTCTGGAATTCCCATTTCCCTGACTTAAAGATTGAAATCTCGAACACTGATCCGTTCTTTGGACTTCCTACCTTAAAGATTAGAAATCTCGAACTCTGCACGTCAGGAGTGGCAGGAGTACTAGAATCTCTTATACATGCAAAGTTTAGCAGTACAGCGTTGATCGCCTTTCATGCGCCCACATTTATGCCTGAAGAGACACACGATTCTATTCGTGGTTGTGAGGACTTTCTGAATTTACTTACATGGAGCTTGAGACTTTCCCTCACTTTTCTTGGCACTAAGATTCCAAGTGCTTTGTGCTTGGCTTTGCCGTGTTCTTATGCCATACAAGGGTCTCATATCCAGCAAACGTACTTTCACAATATTAAGATTCACTCAAATTACATTGAGTATTATGAAATTTCTCCAAATCTCACATCACATCCTTATCTGTTTATACCATCTCATCTGAAACTGGACGCTCACAGACAAGTGCCCTGTAGCATTTTAATCTGCAAAGTCGTTGGAATAGCACATCATTGGGATTCTTACCTCGGGTGTCTCAAAGTACATCTTGTAAAGACGCGAACTCAGACTTTTTGCCGGTGATTGCTTCTTATTAAGCACGCCTGGGGTTGAGAAATCTCCATCTCTCGCACATGTCCAACTAGGGAGTTCTGAAGGAAGTAATAAGTTAAGCGGATTCAGCATGTCGTTTATAGGCTGAACTTGCATCTCGGGTGGTTGTGAGATTATCATGAGTCTAGTATAATAAATCTCAGCGTCATCTAGTGCGTCGAACGGCATGATGGAAAGAGATGTCCGGAAATTTACAACGACTGTAGGAGGAGTAGTTGAGGGTTATGCGGGGGCTGAAAAACTTGATATTCTAAGATGTCCAGGTGCAGTCCTGTCACACTACCCCGCCCTAAACCCAAGCTCTGAAAAAGGCTGGTATCTGCTGTAGACACCTCCTTAGATCTTGGTTCGAACAATTCATTCCTTTGGGATCTGATTATGCGATCATACACCGATCCTGAGTTCTTCCTAACCATGTGATTAGGAAGAAATCAGGCGAAAGAGATAGACAGTGGAAATAATGAGCAGCGGTGAGAACTTCTGTCTCGGTTACTGTACAAGTCTCAATTCAGCACCTCTGTGCAGTAGTCCCATTGATAGACATTGACATGAGATGGAGAGATCGTAGAAAGCCAGAATGCCGTCCTAGTTTCACCTCCGATGCGAGAATTTCGAGATCTGAGCATCTTAATTAGCCTAGTGTTGTATGACCCGAGAAAGCCTTGCTTCTGTATCAGCACAAGTTTCAATATAAGAAGATGGGGACAACTTTCAATACGAGTCATTATCACTTTCACATAGTAAGCAGCATTGTCTGTAAAACAAAACTCAATCTGGTATTCTTCATGTATGACATACTTGCAGTGTGCACACTAGGGAGAGCGAACTTTTCATGAAGCTGATATTTGTTCATCTTTTCATGTTTCAGGACAATGGACCATCAGTGGCCTTCGCACTTGCTGGTGGTCTCGTCCTCAGTGTTGGGAACCTCGCCTGTCAGTACGCTTGGCCTTTTGTGGGCCTGTCTGCCACGGAGGTCATTTCTGCGAGCATAACCGTGGTTATAGGTATCATATTTCACTTCTTCAAAACTATGACCCTTTTGTTTTTTTTTTCTTCCAACTTGTTGAACCACTGCAAGGCATTGACGAGTGTTTTTACCTCCGTTTCTTCTTTGAAGTTCTGTCCCTCAGAATCAACTGAATTTGAAAGTCAAGGGGGCCAGGAAGCCAACGGAACGTGTAAGTTTACAGGACCACTCGTGTCATAAGAGAGTTTTGTAAGTCAGCCTAATCAGTGGCTCATGCTCAGGTTCAACAATGAATTACTTCCTGGATGGACGCATAAACCGTGCAGAGGTTTTGTTTCCGGGTGTCGCCTGCTTTTTGATAGCAGTTTGTCTGGGCTCCGCTTTACATAAGTCGAACGATAAAGACATAAAACGGAAGCTGCAATTAGCTCTCAAAGAGCAGGGCTCGACGGAGGAATTGAAAACCAGGTGTGTACATTGTGACTTTCGTAAATCTGTACACCGGAGTCTCACAGCTTCAGTGAAACAGTCCGTGAAGCGAAGTAGGATTGAACAATTTGCAGTGAATGACTCTACTCCTACTTTTGTATCAATTTCACCGAGGATAGATTTGATGAGTTCTTCTCGGGGATAAGGTTGGTAGTTGCATTAATCACACCCCATCCAAGATACGCGCGAGTTAAGTCGCACCTAAATTTCCCCTATAACAGTGTGAAAAGCGTCGTGGTGTTTGTAAAACTCAAATGCGGTCTGACATCGCGCTTGACATTACTCAGTTAGGCGTTCTAAGTTTTGATCATCATTTGCCCTGTCTGTGTTGCTGCTGCTGCTGCAGACCTGCTGTAGGAGCTGCCGAGCCATCTGGTACGTTGGTCGAATCATTCATTGTATGGTGGGCTCTGCTTCTTTGTCTGTCGTGATCATGATCTACTCAATTTACGATCATTGTCGATTTTCCAGTCACTGAGAATCGTGTCCACCGTTTTTTCACCTTTCAGAGCTGGAGAGCGGCGTCAATGTTCCAACCACTGAAACAAAAACTGTCATCGGAAGTGCTGAATTCTTGAAGCAGCTGGAAGACAAAAGAGCCGTGAAAGTGCGTATGAGACAAAGCTATTGCGGTTTGAGCTAGATGGAACTTAAGGTTTTGAACCAATCTATAGGATATGAGACGAGGCACCCTCGGTGCACGATGTACATATATATGTTTGCCAAAGCCTTTCGGGAGAGTCATCGGTGCTTTACATCGCTAATTCACTCGTTTCTACAGGTTGGAAGTGCGAACTACTTGTTCGGACTCAGTATAGTGCTCGTCGCCGGGCTGTGCTTTTCTCTCTTCTCCCCTGCATTCAACTTGGCAACGAACGACCAGTGGAACAGCTTGAAACCGAACGTGCCTCACCTCGTAGTCTACACGGCCTTCTTTTACTTCTCCATCGCAGCATTCGTGTTCGGCTTCGGCATCAACCTCTTATTCTTATACCGTCCTGCCATGGGGCTACCCAAGTCGTCCTTCCCTGCTTATGTAGCAGACTGGAATGGCCGCCCCTGGGCTTTACTCGCAGGAGTGCTCTGTGGATGTGGCAACGGATTCCAGTTCATGGGCGGCCAAGCTGCGGGCTATGCTGCAGCAGATGCAGTCCAGGTTGGTGTCCACCTCCCAAATTATTCTCTCTCTCTCTCTCTCTCTCTCTCTGATTTATGGACAGGTGCTATAGAATAGAAGAATCTTATGAATGTAGAGGATTACCTTCTTCAATGATTGAGGTCTTTCTTCCCAGGCTTGATAGATGTTTGCTGCACGAACTGGATGTGGCATCTAAACCTTATCTGCTTGGCTTCGTACGATGGGTCGCAGGCCTTGCCCCTCGTCAGCACTTTCTGGGGCATACTAATATTTGGAGAATATCACCGATCATCTCGCAAAACGTACGTATTGCTGGTATCGATGTTGGTCATGTTCATAGCGGCGGTGGCAATTCTGATGAGCTCATCTGGACATAGGAAATCATAAACGAGCTGGTGTTTGTGAATCAAACTTGTCTGCCTTGAAATATGTGTAAAACTCGTCTGTTACCGTCACGGTGACTGGTAGCTGATCCAGCTGTGATACATATATGTATCGTGCACGCCAGTCGGACATAGAGGAAGTTATGATGATGCTGTCTATGTCTTCTGTCAAGGACCGTATGTAGATCGTCAATCTCCTCGCTAGAGCTCCTGATATCTGACATACCGAGATATTCATTACCTACGATGAATACCCAACCTGAATAGCTGAGATCAGTCCTTCGGAGCCATACCACTTTCATATATCCAAATGGGTACATCTCGTAGAATAGAGTGCCCTTCGCTATATATTGTAAATAGTTCGCTTCTCTTACACCGCCAGGTCCGCAACCAGATCTCATTCAGATAATCTGAATTGTACATTTTTTCTGTATATGGAACTAAATTTCTCCCTACCTCACTCGCACCACTCATCATGAATAACTGTTTCAATATCAGCTCTCTCCAATGCATGAGCACAACCGTCACAGATGTCCTCTCTTCGCTAAAGTGAACTACTTTGAGTGGCGGTATCATGAATGAGTCTGCAAGGGGATAGTAGTCCAGACTCTCAGCTTTTAAATAGGACTCTGGAAGTGCGATCGGTGTCGCGGTATTAGCTCCCTCTTCAAAACTAGGAATCCGTCGCTTGGAGTAAGACGCTGTGTTGAATTTTATTCTTCTTTACAAACGAGTGGAATTTTTGCGTCCATCTATTACATTTCATCTGTCCACTTTTGGCATGTGCCCTTTCAAACAGGAACACCACGACGTGACATATCGAGATTCTTGGGGTCTGGGCGGGGAAGCTCATCTCATGTCATCCTTGCCGATCACAAATGTGTTTCTCGTTGTCATAATCGCAAGCAAGCAAGCCAAGAAATCACCTGTCTTGTACTACAGCAAGATCCCATGCTCGTGTGGAGACATCGGAATCTTGATGATGATGACGACGCAACCGAGGTAGGTTACATGTAGTCAACATTGGAGGTCTTCCTCTTCCTTTTCCTCCTCTTCCTCCGCCTCCTCCACTTTTGTGCGGTACAGCTCGACGACGGACCATTTGCATGCTCACTTATCTTACGTTTGCGCACGTTGATCGATGTTGATGCGTATGATTCGATGCTTCTCAATGGCACAAATCGGCGCTTTGGTGCGGAGCAAGAGAGTGGAAGGCACGCGTGGAAAATCTGGTGCTGGTGCAATTGTAACAGCAGTCAATCCAAGTACTGTTTCTCTGTCTCTCTGTCTGGCTGTCCCTCTCTCTCTCATCGACAAAGCAAAACAGAGGAAAGGGCCCGGTGCTCTTGATTGCCCACTTTGTACACGACAATCTGCTCTATGCTCTCTGCTCTGCGTCGCTCGTCCACATGATTTTAACCCTAAGTGTAGGAAAAGCGAGTGCCTCCCAAACCTCGATCGGAATTACGATTTCCTCCGTTTTCAACATGGAACGAAGTCCCGACCCATCCACGTTTTCTAAACCAATGCTCTACAGTACTTGTTCATCAGGTGATGTCGTGTGTTCATGGTGTATGAATGAATTAAATCTAAATTATGGGGATGTCTTCGTAGAAATCACTCATTATGTCATATAAAGTAGTGCGTAATCCTCCGATGTCCGAAGGTCATCTAGGAAGTGAGAGAATTTGTGGATTTCTAAAACCGAAAATTTCAATCCACATTCATATGGATGTATTTAAATCCGAAAAGTGAAGACATTACATAAAGTGTACAGTATTCTTATTCTATATGTAGCACCACCTACTGCTAGGAATAGGAGTGATGATTTTATGCCGTTTGAATTATTGAATATCTTCTTGAACATATTACATTTTTACCATCTTGAAACCATCCGGCTAGACCAGGTTATTTTTATTGTTTTCATTCTTTTATGGCTTGAGAGTGCATTCATTTCTTTTTCCTATCTTCTTGTATGCATTACTTCAGGCTACCCTTATACCTTTGTCGCTTTATGTCGTCAAAAGTTTTTCACTCTAGCAACAAGACACAAGCTTTCAATCACTTCTAGTAGATTATATGGAACCGCTTGGTTCGTTACATGGTAACATCTATCATCGAAACAAAAAGCATTTCCGGGTCGGCATGAAGTTTCCAAATTTATACAACTTTTCATTTTTCAGCCAATGAAAAGAAAAAGAGAATTTTTTTTTCTGCTAAAACCTACTAGATTATTAATGAATTACAACTTTATATCTAGCTTGAACAACATTACTTGGAAATCATATTAATATGATAAGTTGGATGTAATAAATCGTACTACAATCACAGAATTGGCTTTATATAAATGATGCTACATGTGAAACTGGTATGTTATCTAAAACTCAAGTTTATAATTTGAAGTTTCAAACCTTCAAATTAATACCTTCGTCAGACTTGTAAAATTTAAATCTCCACAACATACTTATCTTTAGAGAACCAAAGGTAATGAATTCCAAGCTAGATACTGAAAAATTTAAATCCATAATTTATAATGCAATATGTGTAATGCAATATTCAAAGTTGCGATGTACAAAACAAAACAGCTAGAAGTGTACTCGAATATGAAAAAAAAATTCATTTTCATTTGAAATTCATCTGTGAATTGAAACAATTTTCATGTTAAAAAATGATCATGATGAAAACAAGTTGATTTCCATCAAAAATCAATTTGATAAAATATTTTCAAAAGTCCATGTAGTCCAATGTTGATTTCACTTGTATCAAATAATCTATGAACTAAAGAATAATAATTCGGATTTTTATGTGGCATCATGTTTGCATTTTATGTGTGATAATGTCAAATATTTTAGCTTTTAGAGCCTTATTCTCATCTTGGTTCCTTGAGGTTAGTCTACTCATGAGTAATTTATCATTGTATATTGTAACTACATCATCTCTACTTCTAAGTTTTCATAATCATGTCAAAAAATTTAAAAATAATTTACGCAATCTTCTTGGATAAATAACATTGTCACGACATGATATCAAAATTTTTTACAAAAACATTTGAAATGAAAAAAAAAATCATGAATAGATATTATAATTTCATAATTTAAAATTGTAATTTTATATAAAATTCAATCATCATAAAAAATATGAATTTTTGATTTAAAAAGATCTAAAAAAGCAAATGTTTGTTAGATTTGGTGAGGATGTAATAGTGGAATTGTTGGACTGTTGTGATTTTCCAATGATGCAATTTAATCAATTACAGAATACTAAATAAGTATATGTATATATAAAAAAAAATCAAAATTTTTATGTTCGGTACTATTTGTTTGGATATTTTAATTGAAAAAATCCATAATTGCAACAACAATCTGATTTGAGATTTACTCATAAAAAAATTGATTCATAGAAGCATTATGAATCTATTGTGTCAAATTGATCTGAAATGATCAAAATTTCAAATCATGTTTAAATTCATATGTTTTTTGAAATTAAATATTGAATTGATAATTTGGGATTGAAATATATCCAAAAAAAATTTATAAAAATCTGAATCTATGTATTATCAATTAAATAACTATATTATTTTTGGATGAAATATTCCTTAGGAATCCAGTTAGAAAAATGTACTCAAATTTGAAAAGCAATAGATTTTTATCAACCTACCATGTTTAAGCTCATGATGATGGCACATTCTTACAATTTAGATATTTCATCTTTTGTTACACGATATAATCAGAGTTTATAGATAGATATATAAAGTGGATTGATTTTGAAATGTGTTTGTGTGTGCATGAAATGATATTTTATTTATTTATTTACAATGATATTCTTTAGAAAATTTATTGAGATAAAACTTCATTCAATTATTATTTTAACATTTTATCTTGAATATATTAATTACTCTTGATAATTTTCTAAATAAAAAAATAAAAAAATCTATCAGTTATCACAATATTTCTGAAACTTTTAATCCATGAAGTCTTTCATGTTCATAATGCAAAAAAATTAATCAATATTTTTTAATGAACCAAATATGCCAAATTAAAAAGATGAAGTTGTTGGATAAAATTAAAAAATACTAGGAAATAGTTAACCAAAAATACAGTATAATCTGAAACTTTTTACTTGATACACAAATTTATGTCAACAAGGTTTCTGAAGAGGAAAACAAACCTATCACATCCTCATCTCAATATCCACAATTTTGTTTATACAAATGATGCAAGCAAACTTACAACACGTAGAAGCAAGCTCATTTCTTCCAAATTACAATACGCATATAGCATGATGAGGTTCTAATTTTGTGTTATTTTTTCTTAAATGTAAACCTTTTCTTAAGAAACAAAGAGTAAAGTAGAATATAAAAACCATAATTCAAAACATACGAGAACTAACCAAGGAGGTTTTCGCAAATATGTAAGTCCTAATATTGAGGAATGGATATATATATCTGCATGTAAAACATCATATGTATCTATATCATAGGATCTAAACTTGACCTCTTTTAGTATGAGCCGGTAGAATATCTTGATAAAACCCTTATTGGCCACATTTCCTAAGATTGTGTTGAAAGCTCTCAGAACTTTATGGTTCTACAATTTGGCTTCCATAGTGAGCAGAACTTGTATAGCTATATTTTATGGTGCATATTATGAATAAAGATCAAACTTAAAAAGCGGAACCAAATATGGCAACACTGTTATTTAAAGTATAGTTTCCTTAAATTCTCATGGTAAGGTCTGTTGCAAACTGGATGAGGGGATATTATCACCACTACTATATATGCACACATGAAGGCACATTGTGCATAAAGTCAGGAAGATCTCGTAAATGAGAAGACGTTTCCAAGCCAAATCAAGAAGAAGCTCAGATAGTCATAGATGGGTCATACCTAGACTACACATTACTACAGGAATGTGAAATGAAGTCATCACTGTTCTCCTCTGCAATCATATGAAGTTCGATTCAATAAATATCAAGCATTGCATATCAACACACACAAAAATCAGTCCGAGTCAAAAATACGGATATTGTTGGAATACCCTGAGCAGTTGAGGTCGGCGTGTGACTACTATCTATATATGATGAGGACCATTTCAAATGTTGGCTTCACAATTATCCCCACTTTAATGATTCCGATAAAGCGAATAACAATAAATATTGACTTCACAAGTCGTCTTGTGTCAGATCCTTTGAAGTTTTCAACCTGGATTCGGGACAAAGCAAATGATGACTGTATCACAACCTCAGGAACTTCATCGGTCTAAAGCATAACTAGCTCACGTTGCACTCACTTTTATGCTCCGCTATCTATTTTACCTTCTACGACAAAACTCAGTAGGATGCTCACACGCAAGGCGTTGAACTTCTGAGGACCAAACGCTGCCCAAGAGAAGCGAATGTATAGACGAAAAGCTAAATGACATCCGAACAAATCATGGAGATGACTGCTTACATGGA